GGATCGCTGGTAGCACATTTTTTAAGAGAGGCTGGTCTGTTACATCTTGAGTACTAATGTTATTGGAAGTGTTTTCATAAGTCCGCTTTTGAAGCTCTTGCTCTGAGCTTGAACAATTGCAGAATTAACGAAGTAGTTACTTATAGTTATTACTTTCATTATGTTTGAACTGATTGAGGAGTCATTGTTAAAAAATGTATTGTTAACTTCTTTTTGTCCATTTATATTCACATCAGTACTTTTAACAATGACTTTACTGGAAGTGTATCAACTTAAATTTTGTATCAACTTTAAAAGCCTGTTTAGCTTCCAGTTTTCTTCTACAAAACATAAAACATCCATATATTTTTCATAAGCAATATCATTAGTCGATGTTGAGAATTATAGGAATTAATGCAGCGAAAAAATCGTAATAAAAAACGTTTATTATTTCGTCTGATTTGTCTGCTGTGGGTGTATTTGGATTATGTTGGTTTTTACCGAGAACCAATTGGTTGAGCATGATTCACTCGGATGTTGAAAAAAATTCGTAACGTGATTTTTTAGTTGTTTATTTAAAATTATTCCGATGCCATCCTTATGTTAACCTTAAGTATTTCCAGAGTAATATACTACTCTCCAAAATTAACGCACCACCTAAAATGGACCATGATTTTGAAACTATATTTCTTTTGAACCCTTAATTGCATTTCGATGATTTATTTTGCACATTATAGGTATATTTCTAATTAATTATTATATTAATGTTTTTTGGGAAATTTAAACGTTTCACCTATATACGGGGCGTAAAAATAGAGTTATGTTTTTTCATATAATTCTGCAACATCCTGTTGTCTGTATTCGAAACAAACAGTACATGTTATTAATATTTCGAGATCGCCTCATTCTTTCTCCATATTTTCGTAAAAAATTCATCTTGATATCTATTATCAAAAAAGAAAAGTATCTTCAAAGCATTAAGTGATTTTCTACTCTCCAAAATTAACGCACTAACTCAATTCTACCATAATTTTTAAGCTATTTTTCTTTTGAATCCTTAATTGCACTACAGACCTACTTCTAAGTAATTACTGTATTAATGTTTTCTGAGAAATGTCAACGTTTCACCCATATACGGAGTGTACAAATAAATTTGATTTTTCATCTGATTTTGCAATACCCTGTGGAATTGATTAAAAGCAAACGCTACATCTTATTAATATTTTGAAAAACCTTCATTTTTTTCAACATTTTCGTAAAAAATCATCGATATTTTTATTATCAAAAAAGAAAAGTACGTTCAAAGCATAACGTGATTTTATCGAATTGTAATACTCAATGAAAGCAGTTAGTTGGCTATGAAAAATCAAACAAATTGACAGGAGAGTTTTAGACTGTTAATCTTGTTTACATTAAAAAAAAATGTTTCGCTATTTTGCGTATGTTAGTTAGTTAACATGGACCATGTTCTTGAAATACAGAAAAACTGTATTACAAGAAATCCGAGATGAATTCAGGCAATTACTCTAGTCGATATAGGTTAAGTTATCGTGAAATAGGCTTAATGTTAAGAGTATCTCATACTACAATATCCCGAGTCATTCAACGTTTTCGAGAAACAAACGACCATACGAGACGGCATGGACAAGGAAGAGGAAGACTCACAACACCACGAGAAGATCAGTTTATCAGGCTTGGTGCTCTAAGAGAACGTTTTCTCACAATGAGACATTTATAAATACAAGTGGCAAATGTTCATAATATTCAAATTAGAAGCAGCTTTAGTAGAGCACCAGCTTTAAACGTAAATCATCGTAAATGTACTGTTTGCCTTTCGGAGCCGCAGTCGCAATTTGGTGATTGTATTTTTCCCCATCTAAAAAGTGAGTCGGAACATCTGCCACAGTTCATCCTTATTCTATTGAGTGTGGTCCAAATTCGTCTCGGTTGGTTGAAGCCCTCAGGTTTGCTTGTAATACATGGCATGTTCCAGTTAACTGGTGCAGCGTTATTCTCCCATTGTTCTCTCCACCGTTCAGTTACATTAAAGTTTTGATCTACTAGCCTTTATGCTGTTTTTAGAGGCGGGTGTCTTGAACGGAGCCTATTTATGTCTCTGGCGGAAGTTCCGACATGGGAGCGGAGCTCAGGATCAGTATTGATTTTTGTAAATTTTCTGACAAGGGCATGTTCCCGGCGGATGGGTGGTGGAGCTATATGACTCAAAGCTGGTAACCAGTAAGTGGGCGTGGCCTTGATTGTGCCCGATATAGTTCGCATGGCTTGGTTGAGTTGTACATCAACACGGTGAGTATGTGGACTGTTTATCCATACTGGTGCACAGTATTCCGCTACGGGGTATACCAGTCCTAATGCTGTCGATCTAAGTGTGGGTGCTGAGGAGCCCCATGTAGTGCCGCAGAGCTTTTGCAGGATGTTGTTATGAGTTCGGAGTTTTGCAGCAGTCTTAGTAAGATGCTCTTTAAAGTTCAGCGTTCTGTCAAGTGTAACACCTAAGTATTTTGGGTGTTTATTATATTTAAGGAGTCTATCCCAAAAAATTGATTTGAGGTTGATAGTTGGCCATCTGGAAGCAGGACACTTCTGTCTTAGTTGGATTGGGTTGCAATCTCCATTTGCGGAAATAATTCCCTAGGGCATTTAAATCGTTTGTTAAAATGCGTTCAGTGACCTCGAATTCTTTATGACTTGCGGCAAGCGTCCAGTCGTCTGCGTATCCAAACTTTTTTGATGTGGTTTCTGACATGTCTGCTACAAAAGAGTCAATCGAATATATTTATAATCTAGATGTTTGTTTGTAGAATAATATTTTTGTATTTACTGTTGTTTGTAATTTATATAATTTATATTATATTTATATATATGAACCTGTGATGTAGCCATACGCTAAATAAATAAATCGTAAATGTAGATTACAATTTGCCAGATAGCACCTTGACTGGAATGTTAATGACTGGGAATATGTGTTGTTCACTGATTTATCGAGGTATTGGTTATATAGCTCAGATTCTCAGATAGACGTGTGAGAGTTAGTCGACGAAGACAATGCTACGCACAGTACAATATACGACCTATTATTTTATTGAATGGAGGATATGTAATAGTTTGGGGAGGAATATCTCTTACAGAGCGAACGTACTTGTTGCTTTACGAAGAAGTACTATTGCTTAACAAGTGAAAGGTCTATTATGGATATTTTGTCTAACCATGTAGTTCCATTTGCTCCTTACATAGGAAATAATTTTCTTTTAATGCATGATAACGTTCGTCCATGATTATTTGGACGAAGTTGGAATACAAACTATGAACTGGCCACCCTGCAGCCCTAATCTCAATCCCATAGAGAATTTGTGGGATATTATTAATCGCCTACTTAGAAGCCGATAACCACCACCTATCTCTCTTGACGACATAGAAGTTATGGTGAGAGAAGTTTGGATGCAATTGATTAAGACCCAATACACCACTTGATTTTAACTATGCCTCGTCGCTGAGTGTTTTTGCAAGAGGAAATTGGTAACGATTATTTAGGTTATGTTTTCTTAGGCTTTATTTGTATTAAATGTCAATAAAGTTTATGTAAGTAATGTTCTCTTTGCTTTAAATGTTAATAAAAACTGTTACATTTAAAGTTCTGTATAATGTTTAATTATAGGGATATCAAGATCTCTCAAGATTTTTTTACGGAAATCTTGAGAAAGGAGGAATCTATCTTAAATTATTAATACGTTGTAGCGTTTCTTTCTAATAAATTCTACAAGGTGTTGCAAATTACAATGAAAAAACAAAACTTTATTTTTACACCCCGTATCCGAGTAAAACCTATAAGATATTTTTTAAAAAACATTAATAAAGTGATTTACCAGAAATAGACCTATAAGATGAAAAAGAAATCATCAAAATCTAATTATTCGTTCAGAAAAAAAATAGCTTCAAACTTTTAGTAATTTTTTGTGCGTTAATTTTGGCTAGTAGTGTATATTTGATGTTCGTTTATTTGATATTTTCCGGCATCAGAATATCCCATTTCACTAATGTCCCTTATATCGATATTCAGACTCCCCATTTCATGGATGGCATTATACATTTTGCTGCTTTGTACACGGTCTTGAAGTTCCAGGTGTATATTCTAATAAACTTTTTAGATTTTTTTGGCGCGTCCTTTCATTTTACGTAGGGGTTTTGCTTGCTAACTGCCTGGGAGGCCCCAGGATATGTGTACAAGAGATACCCATACAGATCTTTAATGTAGTGTTTTTCCCCGTCTTCTATATCCTTATGCCTTATAGTTTTTCAACTGGGAAACTAGGACAAAAAAAAGGGCTCTATCACTCACCAACTCATCTGCCTGTTGCCGTTTGTCAGTAAGTGGGGGATTACTTGTACCAGCAAACACTTCTTCTTCTTCACGTGGCATCTCCTCTAAGAAGGTTGGCAACCATCATGGCAATTCGCACTTTCGACGCCGCTGCTCTAAAGAGGTCAGCAGAAATGCAGTTAAACCAAGCTCTCAAATTATTCAACCAGGAATTGCGTCTTCTTCCGCGACTCCTACCCTGTATTCTTCCTTGCATTATTAATTGCAACAATTTATAACGCTCGCCCCTCATAACATGTCCCAGATATTGCAGTTTTCTTTTAACTGTATTTAAGACCTCTTTATCTTTTCAGATTCTTCTCAACACCTCGACATTCGTCACTCTATCTACCCAACTTATTCTTAATATCCTTCCGTAGGCCCATAACTCGAAGGCTTCCAATCTGTCCGAAACATCTTTCTTTAAAGTCCAAGCCTCCAACCCATAAAATATTACGGAGAACACGTAGCATCTCAGAAGTCTTATCTTTAAAGAAATTTACAAGCAAAGAAATAAGCAAACACTAGGTTATTACAAATTACAAATAATAGTAAAAGGAGTAATAGTAAAAGAAAAAAGTAATTCATTCAATTTGTCTAGTTGTTTATAAGGATTAAGGAATTGATTCTATATTTTTTATAGGTGGAAAAGAAAGATGTAAAGGAAACAATAAGTAAAAATGTAGACTCTAAGCGAATAAATAGAAATACAGACATCAAAAAGGATTTTAAAAAAGTTGTTGATATAAAGAAGGAAAACAGCAAAGTCTCTGATAGAGATAGGCGACAGCGTACAAGATCTGTAGATGTTAAAAAAGAAATTAACAAATCGAGTAATGTTAAGAAAAAACCCACTTCATCAGTGGAAGTTAAAAATAGTTCAAGAATATCTAATGTAATACGCAAAAACGTTGACATATTAAAAAGTGCTAACAAGACTACTCCGGTTGTTCATAATAAAACTGTTAAAAGCCAGACCGAAGAAAGCAGTAGACGCTCTAGCAGAAACTTGGATAATGCCAAAAAACCTAAAACGCATACTCAAGAAGCAGTAATAGAAGATAATAAGACTGGGAATGATGAAAAAGGAAAAAAATTAAGTGCAAAAAATATAAAATGTAAAAATGCAGGACTACGAGGAAAGATGACTTTAACAAAATCAAATCCATTAAAAGTCTTGAAACATAAGCAGAAAATGGAAGATCGACCTCCAGATTTAGTTAAAACAGAAGATAAATGTAGCGAAAAATATAAACAAGAAGAAATAAATAACGATACTGTAATTGAAACGAAAACAATTCAAACGAGAATAGAAACCAACCTCCCGAAGTACCTAGTGCAGAAACCGTTAACAAACACATAGTTAACATAGAACCTATTGAAAAAATTAATCAGGAAAATGAATGCAGTGACGAAGACCCAGATGAGAAAGGTTTAGTCATAGATGAAGATTATAAAGAAACTGAAATAGACAGTAAACAAAGTGTTAGTCAAGGTGAAATAGATGATAAGAAGATTAACTCGGAAATCATACCGGAAATTATTGAGAGTATTGAAGGCTGTGAACATTCTAAGGATATCCACTCACAACCAGCAGTGAAACATGTAGATGATGTAACTCAGGTAGAAGAAACAGCTGATATAGTTATAGAAACTGATGTACAGACAGTTGGTATAGTAAATCTATCAGAAAGTAAACAAATTGAACAACAACTTGAAAGTTCGGAAAGTGTTGGTGTGTCTTCCAATGTAATTGATGAATTGAATACATTATCAGTATGTGCCGAAAATGATCGAGAACATAAAAGTAGTGACAAGGAAACAGAAGAAAAAGAACAAATTATAGACAATGTTTCTATAAAAAGCGTTACCAAACGTAAAGACAAGGAAATTGTTAAGGAATCTGTACATACTGCTAAAGATTATATTGAAACAATTAAGAAAACGACAAAAACTAAAAGTAGTACTAGGAAAGATGTGAGAGAACAACACTTGCGAGCAAAATGTGAGGACGACAACGTTTTACCAAGATCTCAAAGACCTTCTAGAAAAACAAAAGAAGCTGCAGCTATCTACATGGAAATATTAAGCCACAAATTAGTTAATGACAATCAAAAGGATGATGACAATGTTTCTATAGATAGCTTTCCGGAACTACCGAATGTTAAAAAAACAGAACAGCGTGAAATAGAACTTAAGGCAAAGGCCAAAACGTCCAAGGAAGATAATAAGGACAAATTGAAATCGAAAAATGAACATGTCGAAATGATCATAGATAAAGAAGATGTTAAAAATACAAATGCAGAAGTGGTTGAGGATGATAATTGGACAGATAATGAGGGAAATTTTATAAGTAAAGAAAAAGACAAATTTACTGGTAATGACGAAGTAATTCCGAAAAGCAAAAGTAAAGAAGGTAAAATCGGTAAACGCAAAACTATACCCGATAATCTCATTGATCCAGATGAAACGGTGAAGTCAAAAATAAAATCGGATGCCGAAAAACCGACATCCACAACAGAAGTTCAAATAGTATTAAATGCATGTGACATTTTACAACAGTCGAAATCTTCTGTTGAAAAAGATAACGCTGTCGATGAATTAAAATCTGAGTTGAATAAAGAGGTTATACCAAACCAACTAGAAGTGAAATTAACTAAACCAAAGATAGAAAAATCTGAATGTATCGAATCAACGAAAGCTGCTATAGAAGAACCAAAAGTCCTTAAAATAAGTGAACACGCAGAAAATAAAGAAATAATAGAGGAAGATATAACACAAAAGTTAAGAAATGCAGAACAAATCGACAATGAAGATATAGTAGTAGAGGACTCAGTGCCAAAGTTGAAAACATCCGAACAAAAGGAAAAAACAAACGTAGTTGCAATGCCTGTGGTTGTGCAAGAGCCGACCCCAAAGGAAAAAAAATCAGAGCAAAAGGTGAAAATAGAAATAGATGCGGTACATACAAAACTTAAATTGAAGACTACCGACCAAACTGAAACACAAGACAAATTATCAGAACCAACACAGCCAAAAACAAGAAAATGTGATCAAATTGAAACATCCGGAGCAGTTATAAAAGATTTGCCACCTAAACTGAAAAAAAGTCGTACCACCAATTCAGAAGTTTCAGCTGAGAGCAAGGATAATTCGATGGATAAGGATAAGATAGTTTCAAAGCCAACAGAAATTAAGGAATCTCCCAAGAAAAAATCGAGAAAAACAGATGTACCAATGAGAAAATCTGATCCTCCAAAAGTATCTGAAACAACTGACGAGAGTAAACCTAGAAGGTTTACAAGACACTCGCTTCACGCCACCCGCAGCGAGGATTGTGATTCTGATGAGTCGTTTCATATTGATGTTAAAGTACCGAGAAAGAAAAAGAATACCAGAAGTCGAGGGTCCCAAAGAAGTGCAAAAGGTAAGTCTTTGTATATAATTTTATATTTGGAACATTTGTGACATTTTTTTATTAGTTTAAATGTCATTCACAAATTTTAACAACTCAGTAATCTGTTGTTTGTGCAGTCTGTTTTATTATGTAGCTCTTTATAAATAGGTATCGAATTAAAGTGTATTTTTATGTATGAGAGAGTAATAAAACAATAAATTATGTATGCAAATCCCTAAACTGTTGATACGGGTGACTCAATGAAAAACAGATATTTGTCAACAAGTTTACAGAAGTATATAGGAAAACAATTTTAAATTGAGTATGACCACCAGGTATAAAGGTTGGAGCAGAATAGAATACAATAGTTGTGAGGGTTACTAATCCCTAAATAAGGTTGCCAGTGTCGGAGTGATGGAGGTTAACAGGTACTAATGAATTTGCAAGAAATGTAAGATGTTTATTTTATTGGTTATATATAACCAATAAAAGTTTAATAAGTACCTACCTATTTGCAAAATAAAGTTTAATTCTTTAGATAAAATAAAACGTTTTATTTTATCTGAAATGAGTGCATTCCACGAAGTAAGGGTTTCAACAATCAAACATTTAATTCTTTAATTCCAGGAATCTACGACAGTAATTGACTAGATAACTAAAGTATCTAAACTTATTCCACAGAAAATGTGATAGTGGGTTTTTCCATTTTGTAGGAAGGTCCAAGTGGCGTATTCAAAATTCTTAACAGTTCACTAAAAGTAGGTACTTCAGTTTCAAGGTGCAGTTTATTGTGTATACTAGTGTTATGGAAAATTTGGAAGTGCCGTGTAAACGCCGAAAAATTGGTCCTTTAACAGTTAATGAAAAAACATTAATATTTAATTGTTTTAAATCATTTACAGACAAACGTTTATGTGAAAGTGTTGATGAGACCGTTGAGTTAGTTAGCAGTACACTTGGTGTTGGGAAATCTACGATTTACAGAGTTATTAAAGAAGAGAAATGTGGTAGTTTTCAAATGCCACGTAATGCTCCAGGGAAACCAAAATTTCAAATAGAATATCATTTTAAAGAAGGACTTCGACGGAAAGTGCATTAATTCTTCTTTAGACAAGAATTTCCAACATTGGATAAAGTTCTTGTCTCAGTTCGAGATGATAAGGATTACCCAGAAATGAGTCGAAGTACGTTATGGAAACTTTTAAAAGAAATAGGCTTCCGCTGGAAAAAGAATCCCAGAAAGTCTATTTTATTAGAAAGAAGCGATATTGTCATATGGAGAAGACATTTTCTAAGAACCATAAAGGAAATGAGAAACCAAAAAAGAAAAATATTTTATCTTGATGAAACATGGATCAACGAGGGTCATACACCAAATAAATTTTGGCAGGATGATACTGTTACAAGTCAAAGGCACGCTTTTGTAAATAACTTATCTACTGGTTTAAACCCACCATCAGGAAAGGGACGCAGGCTGATAATAGTACACATTGGCAGTTCAGACGGTTTTGTTGAAGGTGGTTTATTAGCTTTTGAATCAACTCGTACCGGTGACTACCATGAAGACATGAACGCTGATGTCTTTCAAGAATGGTTCGAACAAATGGTAGATCTTCTTCCTAAGAACTGTGTAATAGTAATGGATAATGCAAGTTATCACTCCAGACTTATAGAAGGACTGCCCACAACCAAGTGGTTAAAAAAAGACTTGCAGAATTGGCTGAGTTCAAAAAATATTACGTACCATCCCGGATCTATAAGAAAGGAACTTTATTCGTTGTGTGCCCTTCATAAAGAAAAATTTAAAAAATACGAAATTGATGAAATTGCCAAAAATCGTGGAATGACAGTACTTAGATCCCCACCATATCATTGTGAATTAAACCCGATTGAACTGGTATGGGCACAGATAAAGAGTGAAGTTTCAAGAAAAAATACCACTTTTAAAATTCATGATGTTAAACAGTTGTTTTTGGAGGCCGTAAATAATGTAAAACCTGAAAACTGGGAAAAGGCAGTAAATCACACTATTAAAGAAGAGGAAAAAATCTGGAAGCTGGACAATATTACTGATAAAATGATCGAGCCAGTTATTATAAATCTTGGTTCTGAAAGTTCATCTTCTGAATCTGATTTGGATTTGTAACAAGTAGCTGTAAGTTTTATATTAATATTTTTATTCATCTATTTAACATACCTTAGACGGTTTTAAAAACTCTTTTTCTCTTTTGTAATTTTTAAAAATTAAAAAAAATGTGAATTTTTTAAAACCCTTTTTAATGTAGGCCAGTCAGTTCTAATATAGTGTGTGATAAAAGAGGTCACTTTTGTTTACATACACATAACACTTTATAACACTGAAATAATTCATTTATTTTTTACAATTATTTAAAGTAATTTTTCAATTAATCTTGAGCACGCCCATGGAGTGGTCGGAGGTACCAGTTAAAATTATGCTAATTACTCTCTCGTTCATAAAAATAAACTATAGTAGTGACACACAGTACGTAAATCTTTCAGCTGGACATAGGTAATATACATTGAGGTAAGTGTGGCAAAAATACAAATACATATACAAAATAACAAGTAAACTAAATAAAAGGTTCAAATATACCACCTTATTTTGCAAGACAATAACCGAGTCTATTATAAAATATTTGTCTTACGTTAGCAAGGTGTTGTGGCGTATTCGTAGCACATACATTTCTTATTTTATTTTCTAAATCAACTAGATTATGTGCCCTCTCGAGATCATTGCCATAGATGCGGATTTAATATGTCCTTAGAAAAAGAAATCCCTGGGAGCCAAATCGGGGGATCTCGCAGGCCACTGTTCTGCTTATAATGCGATCCAAAAATTTGTGTTTAAATAATTTCTTTCGATACGCTGATTATGAGCGGAACAGCCATCGTGTTAATACCAGACATCTTCTAAACGTACATCTGGGAGATTTTGAATAGCTAGAATAATGTTATATTGTAAAAGAGCAAGATAATTAGCTGATTTCAGAGAACTCCCTTAATGAAAAATGGACCAATTACATGGTCACCTAAGATCCCGGTCCAAACATCCAGTTTTTGAGGTCGTTAAGTCCGATGTACAGCTGGTTCCTAAAAAACTGATACGATTTTTAAAGCGTATTTTGTAGAAAATTGAGCAGTGTATTTTGAAGGATAAATACGTACTGTCACTGCCAAATGTTAATATTTGTCAGATTTCTGTTTAACCTCAAAAATGGCTCCACATGCTAGCAAAGAACTAAAAGCAAGAATTGTAACGAAATTAGAAGATGGTTGATCACTATCTGCCGTAGCGAATCATTTTAACGTAAGCAGAACAACAGTTTTTAATATTAATAAAATATGGAGAGAACAAGAAACTTTCGAAAAAAAGCAAGGTTCTGGAAGACCAAAAATATCTACCGCCCATGAA